CAGACAATGAACTTTCAACATGCTTCCAAGAGTTGAAGGTATTTTCAGAGATTCCCTCCTGAGTAGCTGGGACTACAGGCGTGTGCCACTACGCCCAGCTAATTTTTGTATTTTTAGTAGAGACGGGGTTTTACCATGTTGGCCAGGCTGGTCTCGAACTCCCGATCTCAAGTGATCCAACCACCTTGGCCTCCCAAAGTGCTGGGGTTACAGGTGTGAGCCACTGTGCCCGGCCTAAATAATTTTTCTATCTCCTGCATCAATAAGAAATCTTTTCAAAACTCTAGATGTGCTTTTTCTCATGACAAAGACCAGTAGTTCTCAATGGAGGCAAATCTACTACGTAGAAAGCATTTTAGGAATGTAGGAAGAACTTTTGTTTGTCACAATGATTGTGGGATGCTACAGGCATATTCGTGGCAGCACCAAAGTCATCAAAAAAGGGTTGGATCTCAGTGGGGGGAAAAAACAAACCAGGATGGGCTGTAGCAAAGGCAGATGGGCAAAACACTTTTACACAGGATTTATATTGATATGTGGCATACTAGGGCCTTATGCCCTCTTCCCCACCACCAGTCTGGAAACTACCGTCAACATCCTCTGCATCCTTAATCCTGGCCAGAGATGTTAGATCCTCTGAGAAGCAGGGGACAGCCTGGTACAATGGAGACTCTCTGCCCACCCTGCACAACCTCGAATATCTGTATGTGCTTTTCTGGCAGGCAAAAAGTCGGTTTATGATTGTCTGAGTCTGGTAATCCATTTTGTAAGTAATCGTAAAGTAGTTTTTGTAAAGTTTTAATATACACTGAATTTTCCAGCAATGCAACTTCTCGTTAACCAAAGGAAGATCATAGTTTATTTTATTTAGAACTCCCCTAAGAGTCATTCAGCATTTCAGAAAATTATGGTCACAGGCAACAATATGGTATTGTGTCCTCAAAATCAATCTGCATTTTTGCTCTGTCTATCATAGTGATTCCACTTACAGGTACAAACATCTAGCCATTTTATCTCATCTTCTAATATAGTTGTACCCAAGCATGTGCATAGTGAGCACATTTACATATTTAATTTACAATAAATAGATATTACTACAAATTAACTTTGATTTTCTTTCACTTTTATTAGGTTAAACTAGTCATTTCTTTTTTAGGTATAAGAATGAATAAATTATACTATGTATGAATTTCACTGTAAAGTAAACATAATATTTACTATAATGAGACTAATATAATAAAATTTACTATATTTACTATTGCTGCTGTGACAAAACATGACAAATTTAGTGACTTAAAATAACATAAATTCATTATCTTACAGTTCTGGTGGTCAGAAGCCAGAAATGGACTTTATATAGCCAGAAATGGACTTTACATGACTGAAATCAAGGTCCGCAGGGCTGTGTTCCCTCTGGAGGCTCTAGGGTGAGAATCTGTTCCCTTGCCTTTTCCAGTTTCTTGGTTCATGGCCGCTTCTTCCATCTTTAAAGTCAGCAACATAGCCCCTTCAAATATCTCTTTGACTCTGACCCTGTTGGTTGATTGTTGCTTCTTCTCTGACCCTGGCCCTCCTGCCTTCCTCCTATAAGGATCCTTGTGATTACATTGGTCCTACCAGGATAATCTAGGATAATCTTCTCATCTCAAGATCCTTAACTTGATCACATTCACAAAGTTCCTTTTGCCATATAAGGTAACATATTCACAGGTCTAAGCATTAGAATCTGCACATCTTTGGGGCCTGTTATTCTGTCTACCACCCTTTAATAATATAATAGCCATCATTCTGATAAGATTGAGGCCCACAGGTATAATTAGAGCCCTGGGCTTCCTCTCTCCATGTGGTCTTGGGGCAGGTAAATTTCTTCTTTGACCATGGCTTGGGCTGAACCTGCTCCAAGAGTGCTGAGTCTAGGGAACAAGCTCATCTGAGCCAGGCTGAGCCCCTGGGCCCTGAGGGCAGACTAGTCGTTGCAAGACCTTGAGTTGGTAGGCAATGTGGATACAGGGTATTCACTGGGAGTCAACCTGGATTGAAAAAACCTTTTTTTTTTTTTTTTTTTTTTTTTGAGATGGAGTCTCGCTCTGTCGCCCAGACTGAAGTGCAGTGGCGCAATCTTGTCTCACTGCAACCTCTTGGCCCTTCACCAGTTCATTCAAGGGTATAAGCAACCCTCTGCCTCCTGGGTTCAAGTGATTCTCCTGCCTCCAGCCCCCTGAGTACCTGACTACAGGCGTGTGCCAACCTAACGCCAGCTAATTTTGGTATTTTTAGTAAGATGACAGAAGTTTCACCGTGTTAGGCAAGGATGGTCTTTTGCATCTCCTGATCTCGTGATCTGCCCGCCCTTAGCCCTCCCAACAGTGCCTGGAGTTAACAGAAAAAACCTTTATTAAATTTCCTCTCCTTTCTTCCTCCTTTCCTGAAACACCTTTCT